GGTGTGTTACCACCAAACCCCCTACCCTCGTAGTACATAAATGTTGGGTACGATTCAAACTATACGACAAACACAACGTTTACATTAAAACACACGAGACTTAATGAAACCATTTTTTATACACAAATAAAACTCATTTAATTAAAAAAAAAGTTTAATTAACTTTTTATTGATTAGTCGAAAAAAACAAATTAATTTATTCTAAGTTTCCAGTAAATATTCAAACACTAACCTACAGGTGCTTTGGGTAATAACTATGGCATTACAGCTATGGGTAGCATGCATATTATGGATAACTACCTGTCCACCACGTATTCAGTGCCAGACCACCCAGGACACCGGGCACATGGACTACTATCAAATTGTCACCAGAACCACCAGCACCACCACTACCAGCACCACCACCACAACCACTCAGCCACCCATACCCCTCAGCGTCAACGGCTCGACAATAGTACTCTCGGGGAACGGCACGGCATTCCTACTCAGCACTAACGGCACCCTATCATCGCTACTATCAGCCACCAGAGGCAACACCACACCGCCCACCACCACTACAACCACCACCACACCAGCCCCTCCCCCGCAGCCCCCCATGAAGCCCGTCGTGTACTCCAAGTGCGACAACTCGCACTGCACGGCGCCTACACCTAACAAACTGAACGTACACCTCGTGCCCCACACGCACGACGACGTGGGTTGGCTGAAAACGGTCGACCAGTACTACTACGGCTCGAACAGCGCCCACCAAAAAGCGGGCGTCCAGTACATCATCGACTCGATGGTCCAGTCGTTGCTTAGGAACGAGAGCCGGAGGTTTATATACGTGGAAACGGCCTTTTTCTGGAAGTGGTGGCTGGTATGTTTAGGAATTTAAAAATTATACGTATACACAACTCACTAATGGATTCGTAATTAAAATCAAATAAATTAAAATAAATTAAAAATAATTTTCTCTAACTATTCATAACTGGAGACTAATTACTAATGAAAGTAATACTCCATTAACTCCCGGCGCTAATCACCCGTGGGTTTAGTCCTAATGATAAACGTGCGGATTTCCATCGGATTGATAGTCACGGATAGGTCGGTGCCGTTCAGCTCATGGCGTTTGGGCTCAAACCTATCCGATACGGCACTGGTATTCCGGTTGTTAGCGTTGGCGTCCCAGAAGTGTAGCCTACGGGCGGCCAATATATTTTCCGTAGCACTCAGTGTGGTCTCCAGTGCCTCCGTCACAACAAACGCCCGAAACAGGTCCCGGAGCTCCACTCGCACCGGTAGGCTCAGGCTTAGGGACTCATTCCACTGGTAGAAGTGCTCCAACCGTAACAGGAAAGTCGTGTCCATCCACTGCTCCAGAGTCATGAGGTGTATGTTCTTGGGTAACGGCGCCCGTAGGGCCGAGTACTCCATCCGGTGCTCTTTGGCGTACTCGTCCAGTGATGAGCACCGCCTAAACGTCACCACCGGCTCCATGTATAGCCTCTGAGCCATATCCCGGTGCTGTTCGGCGGCACCGGCTATGCTCGACAACTGTAGCCATAGTTTGCCTCTGATTTCGAGTCCCTTCCCATCGACCCCTCCCTCGTTCAACGCCTCCACTACACCCATACCGTCGTCTACTAGACACCTCCTGTGCACCATTACCTCGATCTGACCCTCCCGATAGCCGGTACCTCCCTGTGCCCTGTCGTTCAACACAGTCATCTGTAGGTCGTTTCGATCGTCTCTAATAGCTATACGTGAGGTCACGGGGTAGTAGTTCCCGGACACCGGTTCCGTGACCGTCAGGTTATAGGTAGGCCTGTAGTCCCGGCGCCGTTGCATCATTTGTCGCCCGTTAGAGTCGGTGTAAAACACGCCTCCCGTAGTCATGTTAGTCGACCACCGGATGACTACCTCTTTGCCCTCGTCCGGGGGTATGGGTCCGCACTGGTAGTCATACTCAATGGCGTCCGACAGGGGGTCGATGCGCACCGTTTGGGACATCCAGTCGCCGACTTTTTGGTGGACTTCCGTGAGGACAGGCGTGTCGACGATGTGGGCAATTATGTTGCTCCGGGCGAATAGGACGGCCTCCTGTTCTGAGGGCCGGAACACGTAGGCGCCCGACGCCCGGTTGGTGCCATAGTTATTGCCCACGAAGGACCTGTAGTAACCAAAGTCCTGGCGTACGTCTACCACCTGTCCCGTGGCGCGGATTTGTATAGCCTTTAGGCTACCGTTCCCATCGAAATGCACGTTAAAACTCTTGGTTTGTACCGAAAACTCTTTGTCCACTTTGCGAGATACTGGTACGACTGGTGGCAAACTAGTAAAGTTAGTGGCGACGCTACCGGTGCTATTTGTTTCGCTACCGTTTTGGTACTTAAGTATATATGTGGCGAACCCGAGCGCCGGTAGTTTAGTCTCAAACACCAGTTCTTCGACGGCTCGACTCAACGCCCGTTCCTTCAGTGCTAATACCGGCGCAGGTATTAGAAACGCGTATGACTGGACAGGCATTCCCTGGGGGTCCGACACCGCATAGTTCCTATGGGTCACCGGCAGTCTTAATATGTGTCGCACTGGCTGTCCGTACGGGTTATACACCGTAACCGCCAGCGAATGGTTAGCCTCCGTGTGGATACAGGCGCTCACATTCAACTGCTGGCAAAATAGCAGTTCCCCTAAATTAGTGGGATCTTTGAGCGCCGGCTGTTTGAGTGTCAACTTCCGGACGGCCACCTCCACCACGGACTGGCACTTCTCGATCGACTTATAGAGTTTTAGGGCGTAATTGTTGGCCACGTGTTGCTTCTCTGTACCGGTGATGGCGTCGTGGTGTTGCATAACGGCCTGCCATTCCCGGAGGGCTGTCACCTCCTTGTCGTACTGACCCCCCAATAGGGCCAATACGTCCAACTGTTTGCACGCTTGCAGGAAGTTATTGCTCGCCCTTTCGTAGCGTTTTAGGGCCGGCCTACTGGTGAAATAGCCCGACCAGTAGGTGTGGGCGTCCGAGGCGTAGGGGAAAAAGTCGTCCGACTTGTAGGTGAGTGTGTGGTTGGACTGGTGGACAGCGGCCAGGTAGCACGTGGGGGTCGAGTAGAATACGTTGATGTTGGACCCGTTTACTTGTCGGGCGTTCACGAACTTTATGAGCTTGTCCATGTTTGTGAACCACGCGTTTGCCGACTGTTTATCGGGATAAGTTTAGTTTTAGTGCTCATGGTGGGTTAGGTTAGGGGGTGGTGTATAACTTAAGTAAGGTTTGGTGTAATTAATTAAAATGATAGGGTGAGTTTATTTAGGGGGTTACGTGTATTTAGCTAACACCCAATTTAAATAATAACATATAGCTAAGTATTAGGTGGAACTAGGTTAAAATAAATAGGTATTTTTTAATTTATTGGAACAATAGTACCGTTCCCGGTTAAAACCAGCTGAACTAGGATTATACCTGAAAGTTGAAGTCCATGCCCATGGGGATTAGTAGGTGATTAGTGGCGTAATTGGCGGCATACGGCTTAATATAGTTGAGGAACTTATCGACAATCTTATCCACGTTATAATCCTCGGACTCCCTGTGCAGCCAAATTACCACAAATTAAAAATACATAAACTCCGGGTAACCCTAACCCACCCCTACCTATCATCGATAATGGGTTCGTCCCCACCATCGGGCACATCCCAGTTGAACCCCGTAGGGGGTCCGTACAGGGAGCCGGCCATCGCGTGCGCCCATATGTCGGACGTGCGGCCGAAGTCGTCGGACGCCTGCCATATAAACTCCATCCGCTTTTCGGCGGACCTGAGCTTCTGGTCCTCGTAGTCGAGTCGGGCGAAGAACAGGCCGTCGAACCCGAACTGCGCGAATAGGTTGGCCTGTTCTCGGCTGTGCCCGAACGGGTCGATTTGCCACCCGATCCGGGGTACGACACATTGACCTGGGTATTTGTAAATGTTATAATTGTAGGGTAGTAAGTGATGGGAAATATAAGGTCTGGGAATCCCGTAGCAATGGGATCCCGTTTACCTAATTGTAGTTTAACTTATAATTTCTGTTGTAAAACCATGATACTGTATATATATTTTTATGTAAAAAATTAATTTTAATCTAGAATCTAGATACTAATTTTACTTTTTTTTAAAATCTGTTTAAAAATTGTGCACACCAAAGGGACCAATATTTAAATATAACATTTTCTATAATACTTTCATAGAAACTTGATATTTATAATCTTACAGTTTGTAGAAACTTTTATAATGTTCATGCTATTTAATTGCATTGTAAACGATAATTTTAAAACTTAATTGTAAACTGTAAATTAGGGAAAATTAATTTAAACTTGCTACTCTATTATTTCATTTTTAAATACTACTTAAGTATCCCAAAAAAATAAAACTTAACTAAACAAACAAAAACTAATTCTTAAGCAAGAAAGTATATTAAATAAATAGGATATCCCTCACCAACTAAGGGTTACCCACAAACCACACCCACCTATATTATCCTGCAACCTCCTGTGCCCCCACGTCATCTGATCGACAATACCGGAGTAGTGGGCGGTCGCCTCGTCATTCATAACCCAACCGCCATTAATGAACTCCAGGCGCCCGCCGTTCACCAGCGTCCTGACCGCCTCCCGGTGCTCCTCGTCCTGATCCCTCCACCACTTCCAGAAAAAAGCCGTTTCCACGTATATAAACCTCCGGCTCTCGTTCCTAAGCAACGACTGGACCATCGAGTCGATGATGTACTGAACGCCCGCTTTTTGGTGGGCGCTGTTCGAGCCGTAGTAGTACTGGTCGACCGTTTTCAGCCAACCCACGTCGTCGTGTGTGTGGGGCACGAGGTGTACGTTCAGTTTGTTAGGTGTAGGCGCCGTGCAGTGCGAGTTGTCGCACTTGGAGTACACGACGGGTTTCATAGGGGGCTGTGGGGGTAGGGCCAGTGTGGTGGTGGTGGTTGTGGTGGTGGGCGATGTGGTGTCGCCTTTGGTGGCTGATAGTAGAGATGATAGGGTGCCGTTAGCGCTGAGTAGGAATGCCGTGCCGTTCCCCGAGAGTACTATTGTGGAGCCGTTGACGCTGAGGGGTAGGGGTGGCTGAGTGGTGGTGGTGGTGCTGGTAGTGGTGGTGCTGGTGGTTCTGGTGACCATTTGATAGTAGTCCATGTGCCCGGTGTCCTTGGTGGTCTGGCACTGAATACGTGGTGGACAGGTAGTTAGCCATAATATGCATGCTACCCATAGTTGTAATGCCATTATTATTATCGAAAGCACCTATAGGTTAGTGTTTGAATGTTTACTGGAAACTTAGAATAAATTAATTTGTTTTTTCTACTAATCGATAAAAAGTTAATTAAACTTTTTTTTTATTAAATGAGTTTTTAAACACATATTTTTTACCAAAGTAATTCAGAGCACACAAAATTACATTTGCAACACAAACAGCATATCAAACTTAGCATGGGTTGTAAATACATGATGCTCCCATCCCCCAAACCACCATTGTGTGGTGTCCAATTATAAACAGTTATTAACCACTGACACTTACCCCGTCATCAAACTATTAATATAAATTATAATGTAATTGTATGGTAATGTAAATGTAATGGCACGTGGCGAAAAATTAATTTTAAAAATTTTCCATTTATTAGTATTAAAACATACTAACGTCTGACGTTTAAAAAATTATTTTTGTTTTGTTTAATTATATTTTCATAATTGAAATTAATTTTACTATAGTAAATTCTTTTTATTAGATAAATCTTTTAGATAAATCATTATGCCCGAGTAAAAATAAGCAAAACAAATATCTGAACATATTTACACCATGTTAATTTATTATAGAGTTGTATATCAACATCATAATTAATTCATATGACCGATATTACAGTTTGATAAAATTTAAATACTATTTTAAAATCTATATTAAAACAATGTTCAATATCTTACGAGTTGATATTAGTTACATAATACCATAAGTCTACTGTATTTATTAATATAAGATTTTTATATACAATATATAAGAGTCATAGAAAAAATATGATGTCTAATATAGTTAAGCCATTAATAGATATGACATATAATTTTCATTATAGTTATGGCCAT